TCCGAGTCTAGACTGAGGACGGAGCCATTTCCTCTCCAGGCGAATGGGCGCTGAGCGCAAGCTCGATAACCGAACAGAGCAGCTTGGAGCTGCCGCTGACAATGGCTGCTAAGGCTCCAGCTGTCGGGTCGCATGCCGTAGCTGGATGTAGGTGCCCCGGGCGGCAGCAGCTGTCTCTGTCAAGGGCAGTGCCTGCCTCTCCGAACTTAGCGCTCCGTAGCAAGCAGGCGAGAGGGCGCTGCCTCTGCAGGCAGCCCGCTGCTTCGCAAATTCCCTGAGGAGGAATGAGCGTGGAGCGGGCACAGCCACGCGCGCGCGCGTGCATGTGCGCGTGTGTGTGTGCGTACATGTGTGTGTGTGAGAGTGTGCGTGTGTGCGTGTGTGTGTGCGTGCGTGTGTGTGTGCGTGCGTGTGTGTGATCTCAGCTTCCGTTAGGTGACTCGGGGTGAGGGGAATGGATGCCCCGACCATCTTCCCCTTTTCCTCACTAATTCCTTATTCATTCATTCAGGCCCTGGAATGTTTTTCCTACTGAAAAGGCTTTTTGTTAAATTGGTGTCCAAGTCCCTCTGCTTTTGGTTTATAAAACAAATACATGAAATAAACGTGTAAAGAAAGCATAAGTAATAGAAGCCATCGGACTAGGACCGAAGACTGACAAAATGTGGTAATTAAAACAGCAAAGGCTGGCCCCAGGTTTCCGTGAACCAGCAGAATTTCAGTTGGGATTACAGAAAGACGTGTATTGCATGCAGGAAACGACATGGCCAAAAAATATGAATGAGAAAAGTCGAGAGAGACAGTTTAATGAAATCTGCGCAGTATTAATGCAAATGCAGTCTTCTGGGGAGATAGACCCTCTGCCCCCGGAATATCTGCTGTGCTTTCGAACCCCCTTCATGGTACTCGCCCTGCTCTGCTTCACGTGGGCGTGTTCCTTCTGCCCCCGTTCATGTACCTGGCTCGATTTCAGCCTCGTCTCACGTGTGTGCCCGCGCGACCTAGAGTGTCACGTGTGTGCCCGCACGACCTAGAGTGTTGAATCTTTCATCATCACCCGGTTCCTTCTTGGAAGTTCAGGCGGGACCCCGTGAGAACCGGGCAGTGCAGGCCCGCGTGTGGGTGTGTGCGTGTGGCTGCCCGTGTTTGAGTTCGTATGTGGACATGAGTGTGTATACGTTTGCTAAAACGTGTGTGAATTTGCATGCATGTGCGTGCGATCAGGTCATTACGTGCGTGTGTAAATGGTTAGGTGTGAATACAGCATTGGAGCATGGCGTCCACATGTGTGTATCTGTGCATGTGAGTGTGTTCTTAAGTGTGAATGAATGTGTAAACAGGAATTAGGGTCCCAGACACGGAGCTTGTGTGAGCCAGGGTAGCTTTGCGTCGTCTCTGCGCGCAGCGTGGGTCTCCACCGCGACGGTGTGTGTTCTTCTCACAGGTGAGCGAGGAGCCAAAGGTGACCCAGGTACGCCTGGTGTTGGCCTCCGAGGCGACGTGGGCCCCCCCGGAAACCCAGGTAGGAAGGACGCCTGGAGTCTCGGGGGGAGGTGGCTGTCCCCCTGGAACGAGCAGCACCCAGCAGCTCCCCGCCTGCGTCACCACAGCCCCCAGGCACGGCTGGGGACACAGGGTTACGTTGAACACGGGGAGACTGCAGCGCTGCTTGGGTTTCGTTACATCTTCCTAGACTTACTCAGAACACTGTAGTACATGCCCCGAGCTCCTGAGGTACAGCCCACGAATTAAAAACCCCACGAAATGGTCTTGAAGAAAACGAGTCTGGACTTGGATAAGCCTGGGCAGCGCTGGGGACCCCGTCCCCCTTTCGGGCGTGCCTCACGCCCATCCATTTCTGACACGTGCTCGGGACCCCTGCAGGAGAACAGTGTTCATTTCGCTTAAGCCAGCCTCTTCCAAACTCACTTGAATGCGGAGCGCGCTTTCTTTCCCTCTGTCCGTTCAGACCCCATCGCTGTTTCTCAGAAGGTATTTTGGGGAATGCCAGGCAGGTGGCAGGGCGGCCAGCAGTCCTGGCTTGTCCAGGGCTAGCCTGTTTTAAAACCCAGATAAGTCGGTCATCCTGCCTAGTGGCCGTGTTCCAGAATGAGGCCGCCGTGTTCCAGAATGAGGTGTAGAAGTGGAAGGCGGAAGGCATTAGACTGAGTTATCAAACTCCTTCTTCTCGAGGTCTCCATTTTTATTGACTTCTAGTTTGGGTGATGACCCGAGGTCCTTTCTGAACGTCAGACCCCGCTCTCACGGGCGGAAGCCTAGATTTACTTCACAGAAGGTTTTCAGATGTTTGTTTTTTCGTTTTCTTACCACGGGCTGGACGTTTCTGAGGTTTTAAATTGAAACCGAATATTAGACCTAGACGTAATTGTAACTTTAGTACTTATTTTTTCTTGATTATCCGAATGTCCTACAGTGGGCATGGATTGCTCTTCTCACTGAGGATGATGACTAGAAATGTATTATGGATATTTATTTTAGACATCTCACCTACTTCCCAATAGCTTATAATGTTAATATTTTTAAAATAAGGCAATTCCAAATAAAGATCAACAGGCATCTCAGAAACCGTTTAGAGGGGGAAGTAATTGTTCCGATTCGAGGTCGGGGTAACGCCTGTGCTTTGTTGGTTCCCGGCTGAAGGAACGAGGAACAGACGTGGTCTCGGCAGGGGCTGTGGGTGAGACGACCACCTCCCCAGCATCCAGGGCCTCCAGAACTCGTGAAGTGTCTAGAGAGCTTTTTAATGGGAGACTCTACCTTTTGTTTATCTCATAAGGGGGCTCAGATTTTCCAACGTGATTATTAAGACTTAAAAAGGAGCATCATTGTTGGGGTCGCCTACGTCGCTTAGCCCTGAGCTTCCTGGTTGCCACAGCAGAAAGGGAGCTCGAGTGATTATAGGTTACACGATGCAGCTCAGTAAACGGGGGCATGGGGCGTGTCCAGAGTAATGTTTCCTGAGTCCATCTGGTCTGGCAGCTGCTTACATTCAATTTCCACCGTCTTTGACCACGATGTGCGGAATAGGCTAATGTAGTCCAAGGACGCGATTCACGCTCAGCGTCTAGAGGAATGTTGGGAATTGCAGACTATTTGGGAAGGTTGGCTACTGGATAATGGATGTCGCCAGGTAGCTCTGCGCACACGGGACCTGGGGCTGGGGGTAGTGGCGAGTGCTCGGCGCCCCCCTCCCAATGCAGACGCGTCTCCTGGAGCCGCGTCAGAGCCCGGAGGGCCCGGTTTCTGTCCATCTCACGACGGGGCGCGTGCTCCCTGCCTGGCCTTGACCAGGCTTTGTTTGCGACTCTCAATGGCCCCCCGATTACTGCCCCGGTCCAGACGGCCAAGGCAAGCCCTGCTCCTGCGTTTCGAGGTGCCTCGCTTCCCGGTGTCCACGTGGCCTGGCCGTGGGACGTTCTCTCTGAGGAGGCCGCGAGCCCTCGGCGTGCTGGGTGGGAGCAGCGAGACCCGGGCTCACGCACGGCAGGAGCCTGAACCACCTGTTTCTTTTGCTTCTCGGCCAGGGCCACCCGGGGAACCGGGCTATGCTAAAGACGGGCTCCCCGGGACCCCCGGCCCGCAAGGGGAGACCGGACCAGCTGGACACCCCGGGCCCTCCGGCCCGCCCGGCCCACCTGGCCAGTGCGACCCCTCCCAGTGTGCCTACTTCGCCAGCCTTGCTGCCCGCCCAGGGAACGTGAAGGGCCCCTGAAGATTCTGGAATGCCAGGGCACTGCAGTGCATTTCTGAAACTGGAACCGGAGCCCCAGGAAGCTGGCGGTCCTGGACGTTTCTGCCACGTTTTTTTCATTTTTTTCTTTTTTTTTTCTTTCATCATTTGTTTTGTTTCGTTTTCTTGAGAGACCTCAACGTTATTAAAACCAACAGATGCTGCCGGTCGGTCAGATTGTTATTAATATTATTATTATCATTATTATTATTATTTCACGTGGTAATGCTTTGAGTTTTTTCCCCTCTGCTCTGAGGTTGGGGAAACTCCATCTGTGGGGACAGTGATTGCTTCTTGGCTCTGCCGACAGCCCACCTGGCACGTGGGCCCATTGGAAGGGACCATGGTGCCACGAAACGCAGACTGGACACCAGCCGACCTGACCTCTCCCCTCAGAAGGAACCCTTGAGAAAACGAGTCAGCGGCTTCTGTCCTCGGTCGGGCCCAGAGGTGGCCCTGGAGAGGGAGGACCTATCGGAAAGTCGCCCCTTCCCAGGCGACCGTGAGGCAGGAAGGGTTTGTGGGTGCGGGGAACGCCCTCACCCCTCACAGACGGCCCCCAGGGGCACCGGTGGAGCTATGGTGCTCAGGCTGCCGAGGCGAATGGCGATGTGGGGGGTGGCGGTGGCTTTTGTGACGTCCTGTGCGTCTGGACCTCGGATGCGAGGCTGCGTGAAGGTGGCAGCCCCTGGGCGCTGATTTGGCTCCTAAGCCACAGCGGGACCCCTGGACGCCCCTCACTGGTGCTTTCACTCACTTGAATTGTCGGGGTGCCCAGCGACCGAGCACCCTGTATTCTCCTGATGGCGGGCAGTGGGCCGGGACTCGCGTGCCTCCGGGTTCTCTCTGTCTCGAGCGCGTGTGTGTATGTGACACGCCGGCACAAACAGGTGCTCAATAAATCTGGTTTCCCTCTCAGCTCCAGTGACGATGGCTTTCTTAGCTCGGTTTCGTTATCCGGTTTGTGGGGGGAGGGAGAGGGCGTGGGGTACGGGGTGCTTGTGTCCTCAGGACATTTGAGACTCGAGAAGGTGCTGGAACAAAGCAGTGCTGACACAGACCGTTTCCAGGCTGACTTCCCGTTTCTATGATGGTTCCTCCCGAGGGATTGTCAGGTGTCGTTGTCACCTCTTCTAACCCTGAGCCCGGAAAGCGGAGCGAAATGAGGAGGCCAGCCCTGCGGAGAGGGGCACTTGCACGGGGGCTGCGCCCCGACAACTTGACCTCTGCGTAATTAACCAAGAGCGTTTGTGTACGACAGGCGAGCGGTTGCTATGGAGACGCTTGTGAGGCTCTCAGGCCCAGTCTCACCTTGGTTCTGGAGTGTTCCCTGTAGTCTGGGAAGAATGGAGAATTGGCAGGAATTCCTGAGCTGGCTGCCACTCAGAGCAGCCCTCTTCCCCAGTGGTCTGAGCCGGTGGGGACGCAGTGGACAAGGTTATGGCAGAGAGGGGGTGGAGGACAAGTGTCCATTCCCAGGGGGGTGTTCGCACCTCTCAGCTCCACAGACGCGGCGCCAGGTGCTGGAGTTGGCAAGGTGAACAGGATGCGTGGAGGTCGCAGTCTGGAGACACCGGCAGGTATTTAGCTCCAAACGCTGTTCCCTGGCATCACCCAGGGTGACAGACACGCACGAAGCAGAGCCTTGCGATCCAGTTTCATTAGTGCTCTGAAGGATAAAACCTGTACTTAGTACAGAGGACTCTACAACAAAAATGAAAAACAACACCGTTGCTGTGCCCGCTTCGTCTCCCAGCCACCATGGGGCCGGTGTTTTCAGCCTCATTTTTATAGGTCAGAGCCCAGCAGCCGGAGAGGTGAAGTCACACCGCGGCGAGCCGTCCGGCCCTGCCACCTCTGTGGTGCCCAGCCTCCCCCTGCCCGGCAGCTGGGCGTGGCCCCCTGGGCCGTGTCCGAGACAGCTCTCCTCTGACGCCAGACACCGCCGTCGTCCAGTGCGTTTCCAGGGAGCGAGTTTCTGGGAGCCTGTGGCACCGAGCTGCTCCGGACGCGTGGCAGGGCCTCCTCCCTGGGCTCACCCGAGGACAGGCCCTGTGGAGTGCCACTAGGTCGCACAGCCCCACCTGCCCCACACGCCAGACCCCGACGGACAACGCGGGCCTGGACCTAAGCCCCGACGTGAAGATCCGGTGATGGCTTAACCTGCAGAAGCGGCTGCCGGGGCCTCACGGCTGTATTCCGACTCCCCAAAGGAGAGCTCGAGAAGAGAATGCATGAGGGAAGCTAGGTGGTGACAGTTGTCACCGTGGCATCAAGGACAGCATTCCAGCACAGCTGCCCCAAAAGAGGGAGCACACTCCTGGAGGCTGTGAGCCCAACCTGAGAGGCTTTCAGCACAGAACGTCCCAGTGAGGGGCTCAGGACACACCCCCGCACCGGGTCAAGCCGGGGACGCTGGCAGCTTTGCGGGAGTCTGGTCTGGGCTTCAGGAATGGGCTTCACTCTGGGGAGGACAGTGAGGATGCAGGTGGCAGACGGCTTGCGAGGAGAAACACTAAGAAGAAGTAGGTCACAGGATCGTGTCAAAAACCTGTAGGTTGGAGCTGGGTAGGAATGGGGTCGGGCGGGGACAGAGCTGACAGTTGCACGTCACCTTCTCGATGGCAAATACTCGCCGAGACACCGTGGGGACACTGTTACCTGGGGCCCTCACGCCCGGCGGGCGAGGCAGCGCAATTCCGCCCTCTTCTGGAAGATGGAGCACCCAGGACCTGGACAGGTGAAGTGACTTAGCCGTGGTCCCGGGACAGGTGAGTGGCGGGGTGAAGGCCCAGCTCCTGAGCTTTCTCTCTCCTGGCTCCTGGGCATGAGGGGGTGGAGGGCATCGGGGCTCTGGAATTGGGGTGTCTTAGCCCATCGGGGCATCGGGGCTCTGGAATGGGGGTGTCTTAGCCCATCGGGGCTGTATTAACAAATGCCACTGACTGGGCGGCTTGAAAACAGCAGACGTGTGTGGCAGCCAGGAGTCTGAGACTGGGGTGCGGGCTGGTCGGGTGAGGGCTCGGGTGAGGGCTTGGGTGGGGGCTCGGGCTCGGGCTT